GCTATATTACCAACAGGGGAGACTTGTCTGGAGGTTGTATCGCTATATTACCCACAGGGGAGACGACTTGTCTGGAGGTTGTATCCCTATATTACACACAGGGGACACTACTTGTCTGGAGGTTGTATCGCTATATTACCCACAGGGGAGACTTGTCTGGAGGTTGTATCGCTATATTACCCACAGGGGAGACGACTTGTCTTGAGGTTGTATTGTTATATTACCAACAGGGGAGACTACTTGTCTGGAGGTTGTATCGCTATATTACTCACAGGGGAGACGACTTGTCTGGAGGATGTATCGCTATATTACCCACAGGGGAGACTTGTCTGGAGGTTGTATCGCTATATTACCCACAGGGGAGACTTGTCTGAAGGTTGTATCGCTATATTACCCACAGGGGAGACTTGTCTGGAGGTTGTATCGCTATATTACCCACAGGGGAGACTTGTCTGAAGGTTGTATCGCTATATTACTCACAGGGGAGACAACTTGTTTGGAGGTTGTATCCCTATATTACACACAGGGGAGACTACTTGTCTGGAGGTTGTATCGCTATATTACCCACAGGGGAGACTTGTCTGGAGGTTGTATCACTATATTACACACAGGGGAGACTACTTGTCTGGAGGTTGTATCGCTATATTACCCACAGGGGAGACTTGTCTGGAGGTTGTATCGCTATATTACCCACAGGGGAGACGACTTGTCTGGAGGTTGTATCGCTATATTACCCACAGGGGAGACGACTTGTCTGGAGGTTGTATTGTTATATTACCAACAGGGGAGACTACTTGTCTGGAGGTTGTATCGCTATATTACCCACAGGGAAGACTACTTGTCTGGAGGTTGTATCGCTATATTACCCACAGGGGAGACGACTTGTCTGGAGGTTGTATCTCTATATTACCAACAGGGGAGACGACTTGTCTGGAGGTTGTATCGCTATATTACCCACAAGGGAGACTACTTGTCTGGAGGTTGTATCGCTACATAACCCTCAGGGGAGACGACTTGTCTGAAGGTTGTATCGCTATATTACCAACAGGGGAGACTTGTCTGGAGGTTGTATCGCTATATTACCCACAGGGGAGACGACTTGTCTGGAGGTTGTATCCCTATATTACACACAGGGGAGACTACTTGTCTGGAGGTTGTATCGCTATATTACCCACAGGGGAGACTTGTCTGCAGGTTGTATTGCTATATTACCCACAGGGGAGACGACTTGTCTGGAGGTTGTATCGCTATATTAACAACAGGAGAGACTTGTCTGGAGGTTGTATCGCTATATTACCCACAGGGGAGACGACTTGTCTGGAGGTTGTATCGCTATATTAACAACAGGGGAGACTTGTCTAGAGGTTGTATCGCTATATTACCCACAGGGGAGACGACTTGTCTGGAGGTTGTATTGCTATATTACCAACAGGGGAGACTACTTGTCTGGAGGTTGTATCCCTATATTACACACAGGGGAGACTACTTGTCTGGAGGTTGTATCGCTATATTACCCACAGGGGAGACTTGTCTGGAGGTTGTATCGCTATATTACCCACAGGGGAGACGACTTGTCTGGAGGTTGTATCGCTATATTACCCACAGGGGAGACGACTTGTCTGGAGGTTGTATTGTTATATTACCAACAGGGGAGACTACTTGTCTGGAGGTTGTATCGCTATATTACCCACAGGGAAGACTACTTGTCTGGAGGTTGTATCGCTATATTACCCACAGGGGAGACGACTTGTCTGGAGGTTGTATCTCTATATTACCAACAGGGGAGACGACTTGTCTGGAGGTTGTATCGCTATATTACCCACAAGGGAGACTACTTGTCTGGAGGTTGTATCGCTACATAACCCTCAGGGGAGACGACTTGTCTGAAGGTTGTATCGCTATATTACCAACAGGGGAGACTTGTCTGGAGGTTGTATCGCTATATTACCCACAGGGGAGACGACTTGTCTGGAGGTTGTATCCCTATATTACACACAGGGGAGACTACTTGTCTGGAGGTTGTATCGCTATATTACCCACAGGGGAGACTTGTCTGGAGGTTGTATTGCTATATTACCCACAGGGGAGACGACTTGTCTGGAGGTTGTATCGCTATATTAACAACAGGAGAGACTTGTCTGGAGGTTGTATCGCTATATTACCCACAGGGGAGACGACTTGTCTGGAGGTTGTATTGCTATATTACCAACAGGGGAGACTACTTGTCTGGAGGTTGTATCGCTATATTACCCACAGGGGAGACTTGTCTGGAGGTTGTATCGCTATATTACCCACAGGGGAGACGACTTGTCTGGAGGTTGTATCGCTATATTAACAACAGGGGAGACTTGTCTAGAAGTTGTATCGCTATATTACCCACAGGGGAGACGACTTGTCTGGAGGTTGTATTGCTATATTACCAACAGGGGAGACTACTTGTCTGGAGGTTGTATCCCTATATTACACACAGGGGAGACTACTTGTCTGGAGGTTGTATCGCTATATTACCCACAGGGGAGACTTGTCTGGAGGTTGTATCGCTATATTACCCACAGGGGAGACGACTTGTCTGGAGGTTGTATCGCTATATTACCCACAGGGGAGACGACTTGTCTGGAGGTTGTATTGTTATATTACCAACAGGGGAGACTACTTGTCTGGAGGTTGTATCGCTATATTACCCACAGGGAAGACTACTTGTCTGGAGGTTGTATCGCTATATTACCCACAGGGGAGACGACTTGTCTGGAGGTTGTATCTCTATATTACCAACAGGGGAGACGACTTGTCTGGAGGTTGTATCGCTATATTACCCACAAGGGAGACTACTTGTCTGGAGGTTGTATCGCTACATAACCCTCAGGGGAGACGACTTGTCTGAAGGTTGTATCGCTATATTACCAACAGGGGAGACTTGTCTGGAGGTTGTATCGCTATATTACCCACAGGGGAGACGACTTGTCTGGAGGTTGTATCCCTATATTACACACAGGGGAGACTACTTGTCTGGAGGTTGTATCGCTATATTACCCACAGGGGAGACTTGTCTGGAGGTTGTATTGCTATATTACCCACAGGGGAGACGACTTGTCTGGAGGTTGTATCGCTATATTAACAACAGGAGAGACTTGTCTGGAGGTTGTATCGCTATATTACCCACAGGGGAGACGACTTGTCTGGAGGTTGTATTGCTATATTACCAACAGGGGAGACTACTTGTCTGGAGGTTGTATCGCTATATTACCCACAGGGGAGACTTGTCTGGAGGTTGTATCGCTATATTACCCACAGGGGAGACGACTTGTCTGGAGGTTGTATCGCTATATTAAAAACAGGGGAGACTTGTCTGGAGGTTGTATCGCTATATTACCCACAGGGGAGACGACTTGTCTGGAGGTTGTATCGCTATATTACCCACAGGGGAGACGACTTGTCTGGAGGTTGTATTGTTATATTACCAACAGGGGAGACTACTTGTCTGGAGGTTGTATCGCTATATTACCCACAGGGAAGACTACTTGTCTGGAGGTTGTATCGCTATATTACCCACAGGGGAGACGACTTGTCTGGAGGTTGTATCGCTATATTACCAACAGGGGAGACGACTTGTCTGGAGGTTGTATCGCTATATTACCCACAAGGGAGACTACTTGTCTGGAGGTTGTATCGCTACATAACCCTCAGGGGAGACGACTTGTCTGAAGGTTGTATCGCTATATTACCAACAGGGGAGACTTGTCTGGAGGTTGTATCGCTATATTACCCACAGGGGAGACGACTTGTCTGGAGGTTGTATCCCTATATTACACACAGGGGAGACTACTTGTCTGGAGGTTGTATCGCTATATTACCCACAGGGGAGACTTGTCTGGAGGTTGTATTGCTATATTACCCACAGGGGAGACGACTTGTCTGGAGGTTGTATCGCTATATTAACAACAGGAGAGACTTGTCTGGAGGTTGTATTGCTATATTACCCACAGGGGAGACGACTTGTCTGGAGGTTGTATCGCTATATTAACAACAGGGGAGACGACTTGTCTGGAGGTTGTATTGCTATATTACCCACAGGGGAGACGACTTGTCTGGAGGTTGTATCGCTATATTAACAACAGGAGAGACTTGTCTGGAGGTTGTATCGCTATATTACCCACAGGGGAGACTACTTGTCTGGAGGTTGTATCGCTATATTACCCACAGGGGAGACGACTTGTCTGGAGGTTGTATTGCTATATTACCAACAGGGGAGACTACTTGTCTGGAGGTTGTATCGCTATATTACCCACAGGGGAGACGACTTGTCCGGAGGTTGTATCGCTATATTACCCACAGGGGAGATGACTTGTCTGGAGGTTGTATCGCTATATTACCCACAAGGGAGACGACTTGTCTGGAGGTTGTATCGCTACATAACCCTCAGGGGAGACGACTTGTCTGAAGGTTGTATCGCTATATTACCAACAGGGGAGACTTGTCTTGAGGTTGTATCGCTATATTACCCACAGGGGAGACAACTTGTCTGGAGGTTGTATCGATATATTACCCACAGGGGAGACTACTTGTCTGGAGGTTGTATCGCTATATTACCCACAGGGGAGACTACTTGTCTGGAGGTTGTATCGCTATATTGTCCACAGGGGAGATGACTTGTCTGGAGGTTGTATCACTATATTACCCACAGGGGACACTACTTGTCTGGAGGCTGTCACTATATTACCCACAGGGGAGACGACTTGTCTGGAGGCTGTCACTATATTACCTACAGGGAAGGATGTCGATTACACACAAAAATCTACTTGGAACTTGGAATTACACATTATCTCTCCCTCTTGAAGTCATTTTAAAAGTTGCCTAGGCAAGGAAATTTCAAAAGTATTTCCCTCCTGACAGAAAATCAGTACTTCCTTGCACCCTGTGGGTCATTCACTTATTCCTTGCCTTCGTTACAGCTGGGGTGAGATTTGAATATAGTGTTAAAGTGTTATAACTAACCAAACTCATCCAGACAATCTTTTATTTCAAAACACATTTTGATTATTCTCATTCAAACACTTGGACAAATTAATAAGTTCAGTGGCTTGGTTAGGGAAGAACAGATTTCTGTGACAGCGAACATCTTGAATCTCCTGTGCATAATATCGCCATTATATACTCACCGCCAAAAGAAACGCGAACCATTGAAACATAAAGAAAGTATGTACGTTAAGAAGAGATGTTTCCAATGTGTACCACTTTCTGACAAAACTAACAATCAGTGAAGTGTTACCAAAGTGTCTTTATTCTCATCACGATATGCTGCTCATGATTTTCAAACTTTACATGCTAATTCTGCAGGAGACAAATGGTGCATCTCGAGTCATGGATCTATGACATCACATGTGATGCGTTCATGATCATCGGTTCACACAACATACCATTATGTTCGTTTGTGCATCAACCAATCTAATATCTCTTGAATATGAATAATTCTTCATATATTAATCAATACGTATGGCATTTGTGTTTCCTTTGGCGGTAAGTATATTTTCAAAAATATCGTGGAGTATGTTTAGTGTCATGCCATCGTGCTGTGGTAGAGAACGGGTCCAGCTATTTATCCAACTGGAATGGGCATCTGATAAACTGAATAATCAAGGATTGATGTCAAAGTATGACCAAGGACACACTTCCATCTATAATGGTGATGTTGTCACTTCACACCAGCGTGTAAGTCACTGCAGCTGAGTCTACGGCGACAGTGGACAACTTGGCATGATCTATGACCGTATTTTAAGTCAAAATAATTAATAATTGTATCAGAACGATTAATTAAGGATTTGAATTCTTTTAATGGGCAAGCATTAGTAACTTCATTGGGTAGTGTGTTCCACAGGTTAATCGTATCCAGAAGAAATGACTTTGCATAGGTCTGGGTTCTACATTTGATTGTTTGTATGTTAGATCTATTTCTAAGGTTATAATTGCTATTATCAGAGACTTGACTTGGAATGTTTGGTCACAGACCCCTGCTTATTTTAGTCACAGCGAAACAATTTGCTCAATTGACTCAAGTCTTTCTGGATGGACCACTTTAACACAACAAGTGTCACTATAATGCAATTGCTTCCGCGTGAGAACATTTCAATCAACCCTTGTAGCATTCGTCAACAGAAGTACAACGCTTCTTGATGAAGTCACCTGCTGACTCATGGTGGGATTTCGTTTATAAAAAGACACTGAGCTTTTCAATATATTCTCATTCATACAACTGTAATCCATTCTCAATAAAACTGTCTGATGATATACCAGGTTATGGTGAGTATCCGATTATGTCGGACCAGTATTAAGTCATTAGTACGTTGCCCTCCCTGCAAACTTTGGTCCATAATATCTCACTTCACAATTTTATTGGAGATCAGGTAGAAATCTATTGATTCACAACAACTGTAAGGCAAATGATAGCTGCCGTGTTGACTGGATTCAAGTCTACACCCACTCCCCCTCCACGCGATCTACCCTGGGCCCCCCTCCTTGTCACCATCTGGAAATGTTTTCCTGTATATTTATCACTAGCATCTGTTTTTGTAATCACCCAGAACTCTGTACATATATTCTCATCTATCTTCACTGGCTAAACATGCTGGTACAGTGAGAAAACTGGGGTATACTTCAGCTATGAAATCCACAGACGTCTGGACAATCGTTGAACTCCAACCTTAAGTTCACACACTGCAAAGTGATGATACATTTAACACACATTGAATCCCATCCATTCTGGACGTGATTGTCATGTCACTAAAACATCACACAACACACAACATCTTATGTCAGTCCTTGCTAACTCGTCAACGAAAACAACTCAGTCCTTGCTAACTCGTCAACGAAAACAACTCAGTCCTTGCTAACTCGTCAACTGAAACAACTCAGTCCTTGCTAACTCGTCAACTGAAACAACTCAGTCCTTGCTAACTCGTCAACTGAAACAACTCAGTCCTGGCTAACTCGTCAACTGAAACAACTCAGTCCTTGCTAACTCGTCAATGAAAACAACTCAGTCCTTGCTAACTCGTCAACGAAAACAACTCAGTCCTTGCTAATTTGTCAACAGAAACGTCTCAGTCCTTGCTTACTCGTCAACTCAAACATCAGTCCTTGCTAACTCGTCAACGAAAACAACTCAGTCCTTGCTAACTCATCAACAAAAAAACATCTCAAACCTTACTAACTTGTCAAACACAACCATCTCAGTCTTTGGTAACTAGCAATAATAATCAAACAGTTATTAATAATGTGACAGATTCCATTCACCAAGTAAACGCTGAGGACACTACACTATTAATGGTCAACTAGTCAACTCAAACATCAGTCTTTGGGAACTAGTCAACTCAAATATCAGCCTTTGCTAACTAGCCAACTCAAACATCATTCTTTGGTAACTGGTCAACTCAAACATCAGTCTTTGCTAACTAGTCAACCCACATCATTCTTTGGTAACTAGTCAACTCAAACATCAGTATTTGCTAACTGGTCAACTCAAACATCAGTATTTGCCAACTAGTCAACTCAAACATCAGTATTTGCTGACTAGTCAACCCAAACATCAGTCTTTGCTAACTAGTCATCTCAAACAACAGTATTTGCTAACTGGTCAACTTAAACATCAGTCTTTGCCAACTAGTCAACACAAACATCAGTCCTTGCTAACTAGTCAACTCAAACATCAGTCTTTGCTAACTAGTCAACTCAAACATCAGTATTTGCTAACTAGTCAACCCAAACATCAGTCTTTGCTAACTGGTCAACTCAAACATCAGTCTTGCCAACTAGTCAACACAAACATCAGTCCTTGCTAACTAGTCAACCCAAACATCAGTCTTTGCTACCTAGTCAACTCCAAATTCTCAGCATAAAGATATAAAAAACACAATATAACTATGATACAGCCTTGAAAAATGCAGATTTCATGAACCACTGTCAACCCTCACTTAACTGGTCCACTTTTAATTATCCAACACATCAGATACAGCACACCACAGCTTCATCAGGAGGAAAGACCATTACACTACTACAACTGATGAGGGTACTACACAGCTACATCTGCGTGTGGTCCACCTTCCTGATGAGGATGGCCACTACACAGCTACATCTGGGTGTGGTCCACCTTCCTGATGAGGATGGGTACTACACAGCTACATCTGGGTGTGGTCCACCTTCCTGATGAGGATGGGTACTATACAGCTACATCTGGGTGTGGTCCACCTTGCTGATGAGGATAGGTACTACACAGCTACATCTGGGTGTGGTCCACCTTCCTGATGAGGATGGGTACTACACAGCTACATCTGGGTGTGGTCCACCTTCCTGATGAGGATGGGTACTACACAGCTACATCTGGGTGTGGTCCACCTTCCTGATGAGGATGGCCACTACACAGCTTTATTTGGGTGTGGTCCACCTTCCTGATGAGGATGGGTACTACACAGCTACATCTGGGTGTGGTCCACCTTCCTGATGAGGATGGGTACTATACAGCTACATCTGGGTGTGGTCCACCTTCCTGATGAGGATGGCCACTATACAGCTACATCTGGGTGTGGTCCACCTTCCTGATGAGGATGGCCACTACACAGCTACACTTGGGTGTGGTCCAACTTCCTGATGAGGATGGGTACAACACAGCTACATCTGCGTGTGGTCCACCTTGCTGATGAGGATGGGTACTACACAGCTACATCTGCGTGTGGTCCACCTTCCTGATGAGGATGGCCACTATACAGCTACATTTGCGTGTGTCCACCTTCCTGATGAGGATGGGTACTACACAGCTACATTTGGGTGTGGTCCACCTTCCTGATGAGGATGGGTACTACACAGCTACATCTGCGTGTGTCCACCTTCCTGATGAGGATGGGTACTACACAGCTACATTTGGGTGTGGTCCACCTTCCTGATGAGGATGGCCACTATACAGCTACATTTGCGTGTGGTCCACCTTCCTGATGAGGATGGGTACTACACAGCTACATTTGCGTGTGGTCCACCTTCCTGATGAGGATGGGTACTACACAGCTACATCTGGGTGTGGTCCACCTTCCTGATGAGGATGGGTACTACACAGCTACATCTGGGTGTGGTCCACCTTCCTGATGAGGATGGGTACTATACAGCTACATCTGGGTGTGGTCCACCTTGCTGATGAGGATGGGTACTACACAGCTACATCTGGGTGTGGTCCACCTTCCTGATGAGGATGGGTACCACACAGCAACATCTTGGTGTGGTCCACCTTCCTGATGAGGATGGGTACTATACAGCTACATCTGGGTGTGGTCCACCTTGCTGATGAGGATGGGTACTACACAGCTACATCTGGGTGTGGTCCACCTTCCTGATGAGGATGGCCACTACACAGCTACATCTGGGTGTGGTCCACCTTCTTGATGAGGATGGCCACTATACAGCTACATTTGGGTGTGGTCCACCTTCCTGATGAGGATGGCCACCACACAGCTACATTTGAATGTGGTCCACGTTGCTGATGAGGCTAGGCAATATACAGGTATAACTCATGTGTATCAGCTCTGGTATGTTTCCTTCTTGCCCTGGTGAGGTTTCTTCCACAGGGAGTAGAGTTTGCGCACCTCATCCCACAACACAAGACTGATGACCGTGTGTGGTCCGAGTCTGAAGTAGCTTGCCCCCCAGCCCTTGTAGAACCCCCAGAAACCCTCCTTCCTGAGAATCTTCACGAGGCAGTCGGACACCCCCGAGTACAGCAGCCCCTTTCCATGTGCGTCCACGCCCTGGTTGTAGAGTCGCGTTGTCACCACGTCGAACGGCGTCATGAAGCAGGTGACGATGATGCCGCTGGCCATGCTGGCTGACAGAGCGTTCATCCAGCTGTCTCTCGGAAACCACTGAAATGTTGTGTTACAGTTGTGTTAATCATTTGTGATTTCAGATGTGCACAGCATGCTTTTAGTACTATTCAAACAGGGGAAACACTGTACCTAGTAGGATAGTAGGTAAGTGGACCATTGGGGAAGGCAATTCGAGTATATGATATAGATGTATTACATTGTGTATTACATCTGTATATTACATAGATATTTAACATTGTGTATGACATGGGTATATTACATAGATGTATTACATTGTGTATGACATGGGTATATTACATAGATGTATTACAAGGGTATATTACATAGATGTCTTATATTGTGTATGACATGGGTATATTACATAGATGTATTACATTGTGTATGACATGGGTATTTTACATAGATGTATTACACTGTGTATGACATGGGTATATTACATAGATGTATTACATGGGTATATTACATGGATGTATTACATTGTGTAGGACATGGGTATATTACATAGATTTATTACATGGGTATTTTACATAGATGTATTACATTGTGTATGACATGGGTATTTTACATAGATGTATTACATGGGTATATTACATAGATGTGATATATTGTGTATGACATGGGTATATTACATTCTGTATGACATGGGCATATTACATAGATTATTACATTGTGTAGGGCATGGGTATATTACAAAGATGTATTGCATTGTGTATGACATGAGTATATTACATAGATTATTACATTGTGTATGGCATGGGTATATTACATAGATGTATTGCATTGTGTATGACATGGGTATATTACATTCTGTATGACATGGGTATATTACATAGATGTATTACATTGTGTATGACATGGGTATATTACATAGATGTATTACAAGGGTATATTACATAGATGTCTTATATTGTGTATGACATGGGTATATTACATAGATGTATTACATTGTGTATGACATGGGTATTTTACATAGATGTATTACACTGTGTATGACATGGGTATATTACATAGATGTATTACATGGGTATATTACATAGATGTATTACATTGTGTAGGACATGGGTATTTAACATAGATGTATTACATTGTGTATGACATGGGTCTATTACATAGATGTATTACATGGGTATTTTACATAGATGTATTACATTGTGTATGACATGGGTATTTTACATAGATGTATTACATGGGTATATTACATAGATGTGATATATTGTGTATGACATGGGTATATTACATTCTGTATGACATGGGCATATTGCATAGATTATTACATTGTGTAGGGCATGGGTATATTACAAAGATGTATTGCATTGTGTATGACATGAGTATATTACATAGATTATTACATTGTGTATGGCATGGGTATATTACATAGATGTATTGCATTGTGTATGACATGGGTATATTACATTCTGTATGACATGGGTATATTACATAGATGTATTACATTGTGTATGGCATGGGTATATTACATAGATGTTTTGCATTGTGTATGACATGGGTATATTACACAGATGTATTGCATTGTGTATGACATGGGTATATTACATAGATGTATTGCATTGTGTATGACATGGGTATATTACATAGATGTATTGCATTGTGTATGTCATGGGTATATTACATAGATGTATTGCATTGTGTATGACATGGGTGTATTACATAGATGTATTGCATTGTGTATGACATGGGTATATTACATAGATGTTTTGCATTGTGTATGACATGGGTATATTAAATAGATGTATTACATTGTGTATGACATGGGTATATTACATAGATGTATTACATTGTGAGTGAGTGAGTGAGTTGGGTTTAACGCCTCTTTTGACAATATTCCAGTTATATCGCGGCGTGTCAGCTTAATGTGGGAGGAAAGCCCGAAGTGATGCAGGTCTAAGACGTTTACCACTTCAGTGAAACCCACGAGCACGGGTATGGTGCTGACAAACCTAGTAACATAATTGGGGCGAACTGGGATTGGAACCCACAATCATAGGTGTCTGCCGTGCCCAAGGGACGCAACTCTGCACAGCGAATCACGGCACCTTATACGACTGAGCCACCCGCGCCCACAATTACATTGTGTATGACATGGGTATATTATATTGTGTATGACATGGGTATATTACATAGATGTATTATATTGCATCTGACATGGGTATATTACATCCTGTATGACATGGGTATATCACATAGATGTATTACATTGTATATGACACGGGTATATAACATTGTGAATAACATGGGTATATTACATAGATGTATTACATTGTGTATGAAATGGCTATATTATATAGATGCATCACATTGTGTATGACATGGCTATATTACATTTTGAATAACATGGGTATATTACATAGATGTATTACATTGTGTAGGACATGGGTATTTAACATAGATGTATTACATTGTGTATGACATGGGTCTATTACATAGATGTATTACATGGGTATTTTACATAGATGTATTACATTGTGTATGACATGGGTATTTTACATAGATGTATTACATGGGTATATTACATAGATGTGATATATTGTGTATGACATGGGTATATTACATTCTGTATGACATGGGCATATTGCATAGATTATTACATTGTGTAGGGCATGGGTATATTACAAAGATGTATTGCATTGTGTATGACATGAGTATATTACATAGATTATTACATTGTGTATGGCATGGGTATATTACATAGATGTATTGCATTGTGTATGACATGGGTATATTACATTCTGTATGACATGGGTATATTACATAGATGTATTACATTGTGTATGGCATGGGTATATTACACAGATGTTTTGCATTGTGTATGACATGGGTATATTACACAGATGTATTGCATTGTGTATGACATGGGTATATTACATAGATGTATTGCATTGTGTATGACATGGGTATATTACATAGATGTATTGCATTGTGTATGTCATGGGTATATTACATAGATGTATTGCATTGTGTATGACATGGGTGTATTACATAGATGTATTGCATTGTGTATGACATGGGTATATTACATAGATGTATTGCATTGTGTATGACATGGGTATATTACATAGATGTATTACATTGTGTATGACATGGGTATATTACATAGATGTATTACATTGTGAGTGAGTGAGTGAGTTGGGTTTAACGCCTCTTTTGACAATATTCCAGTTATATCGCGGCGTGTCAGCTTAATGTGGGAGGAAAGCCCGAAGTGATGCAGGTCTAAGACGTTTACCACTTCAGTGAAACCCACGAGCACGGGTATGGTGCTGACAAACCTAGTAACATAATTGGGGCGAACTGGGATTGGAACCCACAATCATAGGTGTCTGCCGTGCCCAAGGGACGCAACTCTGCACAGCGAATCACGGCACCTTATACGACTGAGCCACCCGCGCCCACAATTACATTGTGTATGACATGGGTATATTATATTGTGTATGACATGGGTATATTACATAGATGTATTATATTGCATCTGACATGGGTATATTACATCCTGTATGACATGGGTATATCACATAGATGTATTACATTGTATATGACACGGGTATATAACATTGTGAATAACATGGGTATATTACATAGATGTATTACATTGTGTATGAAATGGCTATATTATATAGATGCATCACATTGTGTATGACATGGCTATATTACATTTTGAATAACATGGGTATATTGCATAGATGTATTACATTGTGTATGACATGGCTATATTACATGACATTAGCTCTATCCACTAGAGGGGGCACGGGTGGCCCAGTCGTATAAGGCACTGGGATTCACTGTGCAGAGTTGCGTCCCTTGGGCACACCAGAATCCTATGATTGTGGGTTCAAATCCCGGTTTGCCCTGATTATGTTTCTAGGTTTGTCAGCACCATACCTGTGGTAAACCGAAGTGGTAAACGTCTGAGACCTGCATCACTGACACGGCGTGATATAACTGGAATACTGTTAAAAGCGGTGTTAAACCTAACTCCATCACTCACTATCCTCTAGACCACGGAGGCAGTCTGACATGAGTGTATGACATAGGTGTATGACATTTTCTCTATCCACTAGACCACGGAGGCCGTCTGACATGGCGTATGACATGGAAGTATGACATTATCTCTATACACTAGACCACAGAGGCAGTCTGACATGGCGTATGACATGGTTGTATGACATTAGCTCTATACACTAGACCACGGAGGCAGTCTGACATTGCATATGACATGGTTGTATGACATAAGGTCTATCCACTAGACCATGGAGGCGGTCTGACTTGGCGTATGACATGGGTGTATGACATGGGTGTATGACATTAGGTCTATCCACTAGACCACAGAGGCTATCTGACATGGCATATGACATGGGTGTCTGACATAAGGTCTATCCACTAGACGACGGAGGCTATCTGACATGGCGTATGACATTGGTGTATGACATGGTTGTATGACATTAGCTCTATCCAGTAGACCACGGAGGCTATCTGACATGGCATATGACATGGGTGTCTGACATAAGGTCTATCAACTAGACGACGGAGGCTATCTGACATGGCATACGACATGGGTGTATGACATCAGCTCTATCCACTAGACCACGGAAGCGGTCTGACTTGGCGTATGACATGGGTGTATGACATGGTCTAGTGGGTAGACCTAATGTCATACACCCATTTCATTAACCCATGTCATATGCCATGTCAGACTGCCACGTTGGGTGTATGACATTAGGTCTACCCACTAGACCAACTTGGCAGTCTGACATGGCATACGACATGGGTATATGACATCAGCTCTATCCACTAGACCATGGAGGCGGTCTGACTTGGCGTATGACATGGGTGTATGACATGGTCTAGTGGGTAGACCTAATGTCATACACCTATGTCATACACCCATGTCATACGCCAAGTCAGACCGCCTCCATGGTCTAGTGGATAGAGCTGATGTCATATACCCATGTCGTATGCCATGTCAGACTGCCAAGTTGGTCTAGTGGGTAGACCTAATGTCATACACCCAACGTGGCAGTCTGACATGGCATATGACATGGGTTTATGACATTAGGTCTATACACTAGACCACGGAGGCTATCTGACATGGCATATGACATGGTTGTATGACATAAGCTATATACACTAGACCACTGAGGCCATCTGACATGGGTGTATGACATGGTTGTATACATTAGCTCTATACACTAGACCACGTAGGCAGTCTGACATGGCATATGACATGGGTTTATGACATTAGGTCTATCCACTAGACCACGGAGGCTATCTGACATGGCATATGACATGGGTGTATGACATTAGCTCTATCCACTAGACCACGGAGGCAGTCTGACTTGGCCTATGACATGGGTGTATGATATGGGTGTATGACATGGGTGTATGACATTAGGTCTATCCACTAGACCAAGGAGGCAGTCTGACATGGCATATGACATTGGTGTATTACATTAGCTCTATCCACTAGACCACGGAGGCGGTCTGGCATGGGTGGATTGCATGGGTGTATGACATTGGTGTATGACATTAGCTCTATCCACTAGACCACGGAGGCGGTCTGGCATTGGTGGATTGCATGGGTGTATGACATTGGTGTATGACATTAGCTCTATCCACTAGACCACGGAGGCCGTCTGACATGGGTGGATTACATGGGTGTATGACATTAGCTCTATCCACTAGACCACGGAGGCGGTCTGACATGGGTGGATTACATGGGTGTATGACGTTGCTTTATGACATTGGTACACTTTGGTCCACACAGATGAGAATGAGGCAAGACTGGTTGTGTATGTATCTGGAATATATTGTTACTGCCAAGTGAGGCAACAAACAAAAGCAACACCGGTCTCGCCCGAAGCACTGCGTACAGATGCACCAATGAAGGACGGTGGTTTATCACACTGGCGTTTACCAACAGAGTTTAACAAAACATACCTGGAGAATAACACTGCACAATATCAGAATATTGCATGCAGAAGTGATTACCATGGAAACAGGTGTAAGGCTTAAAAAAATAAAAGAAGTGGTTCCTAGGCAATGACTTTTGAAAATACAGTGAGGGCAGGAGGTGTTTGGATTTTTGGGGGGGGGGGGTTTGGGGGGGCTTGTTCAAACTAGAATGTAACCAAACAAACAGTTGTGTACTATCAACCTGGGAAAAAGCCTCGCTACATGAATAAGCATACAAACTCCTTTTGCCGCCATGACCATAACATGAGATGTGCAGCGAAGCAGTGTGCATGTAAAGGGAAGTAACTGTGTGCTATATTGGATTGCATTGTTTTGAAGTATTAGGATTATTTTTTTAAATTGAAAATGGAAAGAAAAATGAAAAGTGCGGTGGACTTGAGGATGATGCAGGCAGCCTAACATAATACTTTTCCACCTACAAAGAAAATTGCCAAACAGCTCAAATTTTCAAGCCATCAATTACATTCCTCTTGTCCTCTGGTCTTGTCTGAATAAAATTGATTGCAATAAGGCAGCAGGGTTTTAAGCAACTCACAGATGTGGACACAAGAAAACATCATACTACCTCTAGGGACGCACAATAATATTCATTTCCTCCAGCGATTCAATAGCAGCTGGTATTTCATCCATCAATTATTAACACTGTCACATTATTATTCATTTAGATTGATTCAGTCCAGGCTCCAGAGTGATTGAAACATACAGTTCACAGGGACCCTTAAAATAATTATTTGGCGTCACCTTGAAAGTCAAGGAAAAACCCTGGGAAAGAACAGAGTTGCTTATTAATACACAGCACGAACCTGGCGTTCCACAACGTAATCCTTCGCAACAGAAAAAGTGGACAGCTGTGATGCGGAGCCGACTGTGACGCGGCAGATGGCTGCGTTGACGCCTCGCCACAATCCCTGCACACCAAACTGGGAGTATATTGTGCGTATACCATGACTCATGCTCTCGTGGGGATGCTGGGTTCCCACGGCAATGTCCCGGACAGCCTGGGCCTGGAGATGCGTCTTCACCTGCATGTACACAAACACAGTTATACAGCAGCAGCCTGGAGAATATGTTGGATATGAAGTGATATGAATAGTACAAGGAACAAAAAATAATCTTTACCAATATTAAGTGTCCCTGTTTTGTTTTTTCTTTATTTGTTGTTTAATGTCACACTCAGCAATATTCCAGCTATATGATGGCAGTCTGTAAATAATTGAGTCTGGACCAGACAATCCAGTGATTGACATCATGAGCATCGATCCACGCAGTTGGGATATGATGAAATGCATCCACCATGTCAGCAAGCCCAACCACCCTATCCCCTTAGTCGCCTCTTATGGGGGCACGGGTGGCCCAGTCGTCTAAGGCGCCGCGATTCGCTGTGCAGAGTTGCGTCCCTTGGGCACGCCAGAAACCTATGATTGTGGGTTCGAATCCCGGTTCGCCCCGATTATGTTTCTAGGTTTGTCAGCACCATACCCGTGCTCGTGGGTTTCACCGAAGTGGTAAACGTCTGAGACCTGCATCACTTCGGGCTTTCCTCCCACATTAAGCTGACACGCCGTGATATGACTGGAATACTGTTAAAAGCGGCGTTAAACCCAACTCACTCACTAGTCGCCTCTTATGACAGGCATAGTCAACTTTTACGGCAAGTCTGGGTTGCTGAAGACCTATTCTACCCTGAGATCTAAGTGTCCCTGGTAGTATGGAGCCTGCTTATATCAAGTCCATGCATCCAGGGACACTTAATATCCATATTAAGTTTCTGTGACACTACAGAGCCAACATAACAAGGCTCCATACTTCCAAGGGCGCATATCTATATTTACAAACATTTTAGAATAATGATACTAAGCAGCCGATACAAGCGGTCTCCCCACTACATTAACTACCAAACATGCTCCTTTCTTAACATACCATATAAAATGGGCTCCCGACCATGGCTCCAATACATCCTGCAAATGCTCCAGCCATGACGCTGCGTAGGAAGCTTGGATGTCCTGTTTTGTCCATCGTCATCTCCAAGTTTATTAGGAGTTGGTAGCTTCCAAGCCGGATGCCATTCATGAAGAACTGGTACCACAACGCAGGGACGAGGCCACTCTGAAGTGCGAACACTCCATCGTTCTTGGCTACAGTGTAGAAGGCATGGGCAGCGTTTCTGTAGTGGATGGCATACTGCCCCCGCGATTGGAGTTCCCCCTGTAGCTGCATCCGTGTCTTCACCACCTCCAGGGGGTTCGTGAAAAACCCCGCACCACATGTCGCTATTCCCCCCAAAACAAACTCCACTGCGCCATGCTTCTCAGCCATGTTGTAGACAGGACACTGGTAAATTGATTGTGATCAGAGGAAATGCTCTTTTGAATTTGTGTGAAAAATCTTAAGTAAGGCACCATATGGAAGTCAGTAAACTATGGTATGTCAGTCGATCCATGTGATTGTTATGCAGCTCACGTGAATTTCTGTCGTTATTCATATTCATAACATGTACAGATCTAAATATCACAGCCGTGCGTCAGACATTGTCAAAACCTAGTGATGCCTAGTGATGTTCAGTGGCTGGGTCAGTTGTTGTATATCGCCGACTGGGATGGGGCTGAAGAATAAAAACCCTCACGGCAGAGAAGAAAGCAGCTGTGACTCGCCCGCCTGGCACTAGATCTAGCAGACGACATTTTGGTGCGCAGTTGCAGGGACAGTCAAAGCCATTCTGTCACGTGAAGTTATGTATTTCACAATGACATGTGCCACAAAGCATACTAAGAACACGTGTCCGATCGTTGATATGTGTCTCTTCTGTGTGCTCATTAAGCAAACGGTGCGTGCTTCGACATCGCGTGGAACATTTAGGAAGCGAAAATGAATTGCAGCGTGACCAAATGACGAAATTTCCGGAAAGCGACAAGAATTAGAGTTATCTCCCCTAGACGGTACACTTTCAAGCTCCTCACAGCGATAGCCCGTTCGCGGAGCTCTCTATACTATCGCTGCCACCAGTCAAAACTCCCCACTGTGAATAGGTGGCCCCAACCATGCTTGGAGTTGAACTCGCAACCGAATGACCGTTATGTTTACAAACAAGTAACGACTGTCGTGACGCTGAATACACTTATCGCTGCTAAATTACTTTCTTCGTTTGTCAATTTGAATTTCTGTTTCATTAGAACTATCGTGTTATTGATATAGTAAGAATGTAAGGGAAAAAAAGGTTGATTTTCCGTTAGTCTGCAATCTCGAACAAATCTGATTATTAAAACAACAAAGTAAATTCGACTGAAAACATGGTCAGTCGTAAACCTTTTCAAAATGAAATATCATGGCATTCCCAAAGACATAAACAAAAGTATCAACGTTACTACATTTGGGGTTAGAGGGTGACAGCGATGATACCGACAGTGTAACGAAGGTGTCACGCGCTGGGAAGGAGCTTGGTATACACTTTGCGAGCTCCTTGCTTGTGCATAACACCTTCGTTCCTGTGAGGAGCTTGGTACACTTTGTTGGTTTAGTTCCGAGACGGATGAGGCCAGCTGATCAAATTACTTCTGTGGTTGTGACACTTTTTACTCCTAAAAAAACGAATTTGCAGTACTGATTTTTTTGCGTCAAGGCGTAAATAGATGTTATTACGCGAGTGTGTTTTGGGATGGGAAATACCCTGTTTTAGGAATAAACATTGTATTTAGCGAGCCTATGTTGTTTATTAAACACTGAAAGTAGTCCCACCTTGACCTTTGGTATTTTGCATCTCTATCCGCATATGACCCCAAGGGATATCGTTTTTATCTGTTGGCTTTATCCTGTCGAGAAACCTACCCATTATGTGATAAATGGCTTTTCCCTGGTACCATCTTTTATTTAGTCATTTGAGTGGAAAAGTAATTTACTGTGGCCAGGTTGGGTAAAGTGACAATGGTGGTTCCTTTCACCTGCTTGAATGCAGGACTATGTGAAGACTGGACATCGTTTAATAACAGTAATAAAATTTGTCCACCCTTGAAATAATGTTTCAGGAGAGACGTAGTACTACGTACCCGTGTCACAGATATAACACTTATCCACGGGGATCCGTAAACATGGGGATCCGTACCCACAGGGATCCGTAAACACGGGGATCCGTACACACGGGGATCCGTAAACACGGGGATCCGTAAACACGGAGATCGGTACCCACAGGGATCCGTAAACACGGGGATCCGCACCCACGGAGATCGGTACCCACAGGGATCCGTAAACACGGGGATCCGCACCCACGGAGATCGGTACCCACAGGGATCCGTAAACACGGGGATCCGCACCCAAGGAGATCGGTACATACGGGGATCCGTAAACACGGGGATCCGTGAACATGGGGATCCGTACCCACGGGGATCCGTAAACACGGGAATCCGTAAACACGGGGATCCCGTACACACGGGGATCCGTACCCACGGGGATCCGTACACACGGGGATCCGTACCCACGGACATCCGTACACACGGGAATCCGTACACACGGGAATCCGTAAACACGGGGATCCCGTACACACCCGGGATCGGTACCCACGGGTATCCGTTCCCACGGGGGATCCGTACACACGGGGGTCCGTACCCACGGACATCCGTACACACGGGAATCCGTAAACACGGGGGATCCCGTACACACGGGTTGCCGTACACACGGGGATCCGTACCCACGGGGATCCGTAAACACGGGGATCCGCACCCACGGAGATCCCGTACATACGGGGAGCCGTACATACGGGGATCCGTTCGGGGCATCCGAATGTGTACAAGTCCACCAAATAAAGTCCGAATACTCCAAAGCTAGAACTACGCACAACTCATGTATGTCTGAACGGAATCTCCGTCTGATGTTTGTCTGAGCTTGAACTCCGCACACCCCATATATGTCTGAGCTTGAACTCCGCATACCTTATGTTTGTCTGAGCTTGAACTCCGCAGACCTCATGTATATCTGCGCTTGAATTCTGCACACCTTTTGTATGTCTGAACTGAATCTCCATCTGATGTTTGTCTGAGCTAAATCTTCGCACACCTAATGTATGTCTGAACTGAATCTCCGTTCACTTCATGTATGCCTGAGCTTGAACTCCGTGCACCTCATGAATGTCTGAACTGAATCTCCGTCTGATGTTTGTCTGAGCTTAAACTCCGCACACTCCATATATATCTGAGCTTGAACTCAGCACACCTGATGTTTGTCTGAGCTAGAACTACGAGCACCTCATGTATGCCTGAGCTTGAACTCCGTGCTCCTCATGTATGTCTGAACTGAATCTTCGAGCAACTGATGTATGTCTGAAATTATTATTATTATTATTATTATTATTATTATTATATTGTTGTTGTTTGTCCACAAACACACTGGTCAAAAGGTCCAGAAACACAAAGGTCAAAAGGGCCACAAACACGCTGGTCAAAAGGGCCACAAACACACTGGTCAAAAGGGCCACAAACACACTGGTCAAAAGGGCCACAAACACGCTGGTCAAAAGGGCCACAAACACACTGGTCAAAAGGGCCACAAACACGCTGGTCAAAAGGGCCACAAACACACTGGTCAAAAGGGCCACAAACACACTGGTCAAAAGGGCCACAAACACAAAGGTCAAAAGGGCCACAAACACACTGGTCAAAAGGGCCACAAACACACTGGTCAAAAGGTCCACAAACACGCTGGTCAAAAGGTCCAGAAACACAAAGGTCAAAAGGGCCACAAACACGCTGGTCAAAAGGGCCACAAACACACTGGTCAAAAGGGCCACAAACACACTGGTCAAAAGGGCCACAAACACGCTGGTCAAAAGGGCCACAAACACACTGGTCAAAAGGGCCACAAACACACTGGTCAAAAGGGCCACAAACACACTGGTCAAAAGGGCCACAAACACACTGGTCAAAAGGGCCACAAACACAAAGGTCAAAAGGGCCACAAACACACTGGTCAAAAGGGCCACAAACACACTGGTCAAAAGGTCCACAAACACGCTGGTCAAAAAGGCCACAAACACGCTGGTCAAAAGGGCCACAAACACACTGGTCAAAAGGTCCACAAACACGCTGGTCAAAAGGGCCACAAACACACTGGTCAAAAGGACCACAAACACGCTGGTCAAAAGGGCCACAAACACACTGGTCAAAAGGGCCACAAACACACTGGTCAAAGGGGACGAAAACAAGTCAATATGGCCACAAACCCATATTTTAAATGGCCACATGAAAAGTCGAAACGACCACAAACCAAAAGTCAAAGTGGTTACATTCTGAATACATAGGTAAATGTGTGCTTTATATCTGCATTTATTTTATAACAAAACTGACAGAGTAAAGATATAACATATACACCATGTTAACTTCTGACAGAGTTGACACACCTGAGAAATGGGAGGGTTTGAAACCCGAATTGATCATCCCTTTCAACCGTGGACGTCCTTAAGAGAACGTGACATGTTACCTCCCCGCCCCCACCCGCCCGATACTTTAATAACTCTTTGTAACTCCTCCGACCCCAGGTTTTCAAAGGACAGCAATAAGCATGACACAGTACAACGCGCTCCCACCCCCTTCCTCCAACCCCATACCTTACTGAATCCTTGCAACCCCCCCCCCCCCCCCCCCCCCCCCCCTTCCCCTATACCTTACTGAATCCTTGCAATCCTCCCTTCCCCTATACCTTACTGGATCCTTGCAATCCTCCCTACACCATACCTACTGGATCCTTGCAATCCTCCCTTCCCCTAAAACCTTACTGAATCCTTGCAATCCTCCCTACCCCCGTTCCTTACTGAATCCTTGCAATCCTCCCTTCCCCTATACCTTACTGAATCCTTGCAATCCTCCCTACCCCATACCTTACTGGATCCTTGCAATCCTCCCTACACCATACCTACTGGATCCTTGCAATCCTCCCTTCCCCTATACCTTACTGAATCCTTGCAAACCTCCCTACCCCATACCTTACTGGATCCTTGCAATCCTCCCTTCCCCTATACCTTACTGGATCCTTGCACTCCTCCCTTCCTCGTACCTTACTGAATGCTTGCAATTCTTCCTCCCCCGTACCTTACTGAATCCTTGCAATCCTCCCTACCCCCATACCTTACTGAATCCTTGCAATCCTCACTCCCCCCATACCTTACTGAATCCTTGCAATCCTCACTCCCCCCATACCTTACTGAAACCTTGCAATCCTCCCTTCCCCCATACCTTACTGAATCCTTGCAATCCCCCCTTCCCCTATACCTTACTGAATCCTTGCAATCCTCCCTACCCCTATACCTTACTGGATCCTTGCAATCCTCCCTACACCATACCTACTGGATCCTTGCAATCCCCCCTTCCCCTATACCTTACTGAATCCTTGCAATCCTCCCTACCCCTATACCTTACTGAAACCTTGCAATCCTCCCTTCCCCCATACCTTACTGAATCCTTGCAATCCCCCCTTCCCCTATACCTTACTGAATCCTTGCAATCCTCCCTACCCCTATACCTTACTGAATCCTTGCAATCCTCCCTACTTCCATACTTTACTGAATCCTTGCAATCCTCCCTCCCCCCATACCTTACTGGATCCTTGCAATCCTCCCTACCCCATATCTTACTGAATCCTTGCAATCCTCCCTTCCCCCGTACCTTACTGAATCCTTGAAATCCTCCCTTCCCCCATACCTTACTGGATCCTTGCAATCCTCCCTACACCATACCTTACTGGATCCTTGCAATCCTCCCTTCCCCTAAAACCTTACTGAATCCTTGCAATCCTCCCTCCCCCCATACCTTACTGGATCCTTGCAATCCTCCCTACCCCATATCTTACTGAATCCTTGCAATCCTCCCTTCCCCCGTACCTTACTGAATCCTTGCAATCCTCCCTCCCCCCATACCTTACTGGATCCTTGCAATCCTCCCTACCCCATATCTTACTGAATCCTTGCAATCCTCCCTTCCCCCGTACCTTACTGAATCCTCGCAATCCTCCCTACCCCATACCTTACTGAATCCTTGCAATCTTTTATCCCGAAACCATACCAAATCCTTGCAATGCAAACTTCAAAGTGCAGGACTATTCACTGCAATGAAAGATATGGGCGATGGAAATACCTAGCTGAAAGGGAGTGAGAGCACCCGACAACCCCCTCCCTCATTACCCCGATTAACTACTGACATAAAGTCCATAATGACAGCGGTCCGCGGCTTCACGCCAGAAAGACTGTATGTGACAATTCCTGGCCTTTCTCCTCCCGTTGTTGAAGGTGAAGTTTGTGTGAGCTCCATGGTCGAGCGCCTTCCTTCTGTCGCCACAGTCCTGCAGTGCGTGGTGTCATATACAGGTGACGCCGCGAGAAGATGGCTGGCATGGGGTCGTTGTGTGCCCCGGGGGCTGCTGTAGGGGTCGTGCTTGTGTTATGCCTGGGGGGTATCCTCTCCATCCCCTCCGGACCAAGACGCGGGAGGGGGGAGGCTGGATCTACAGATGTTGATCCCGAGGTATGTACCGACATTAATGGGAAAAAAAGTATGCCGTGACTTAACTGGTTTTTTTCTATCTCTTATTATATTAAGGAAGAGATTTTATTATGTCAACTTCTTTATTATGAGTGTTCTTCATAATAATGAGTTGACATCCATAGATTCTCTTCCTTATGTGTATAATTTCCAAATGCCTTTCAAAGACTTATTATTATCATTCTTTTTAAATCACAGTGTTTCAAACAATGTGCTATAACACCCAGAACATAGAAATTAAAATAAAGAACATTGAAAGTGAAAGCAGGCGGGTCGATATCACGTTAATGTAAGGGTAAGACCCCGCCAACACCACAGGGTAACATCTTATTAACAGATATATCGAAATGGCAGACATCGATTTCACGGCATCGCCACCTATGTCCGATAAGAAAACACCAACATGGAAACAGATCTGCTTCCGGTTTAGAATATTCCTGAAAATGGTATTCATGCAACCTTTTTAGGGATATTCCGCGTTACAAACCCTTGTTCATTCAACCTGTGCCAGGGGAATTTAATGGGTCGAGTGGTGAAGCTGACAGTCATCTCGTTCCCAGTCGGCGTGGGGAGACAGCTCACTGGTGCGGCGCAAGACATCATGCAAACACATAACAAAACTACAAGACACAGCTCTAACATCATTTAGGAAACATTTTCTAAAACATATCTGTAGGATTATATAAAAAAAATGATACGATCTCCTTAAAATGTATAACATAGATATTTCCATGTTGATCCGTCAGTCAAGAGCCTGCATCACCAGGTGTTGATGTCAGTCCACCAGGTGTTGATGTCAGTCCACCAGGTGTTGATGTCAGTCCACCAGGTGTCAATGTCAGTCCACCAGGTGTTGATGTCAGTCCACAAGGTGTTAATGTCAGTCCACCAGGTGTTGATGTCAGTCCACCAGGTGTTGATGTCAGTCTACCAGGTGTTGATGTCAGTCAACCAGGTGTTAATGTCAGTCCACCAGGTGTTAATGTCAGTCCACCAGGTGTTGATGTCAATCTACCAGGTGTTGATGTCAGTCCACCAGGTGTTGATGTCAGTCTACCAGGTGTTAATGTCAGTCCACCAGGTGTTAATGTCAGTCCACCAGGTGTTAATGTCAGTCCACCAGGTGTTGATATCAGTTAATGTCAGTCCACCAGGTCTTAATGTCAGTTAATGTTAGTCCACCAGGTGTTAATGTCAGTCCACCAGGTGTTGATGTCAGTCCACCAGGTGTTGATGTCAGTCTACCAGGTGTTGATGTCAGTCAACCAGGTGTTAATGTCAGTCCACCAGGTGTTAATGTCAGTCCACCAGGTGTTGATGTCAATCTACCAGGTGTTGATGTCAGTCCACCAGGTGTTGATGTCAGTCTACCAGGTGTTAATGTCAGCCCACCAGGTGTTAATGTCAGTCCACCAGGTGTTAATGTCAGTCCACCAGGTGTTGATATCAGTTAATGTCAGTCCACCAGGTGTTAATGACAGTACATAAGGTGTTAATGTCAGTCCACCAGGTGTTAATGTCAGTCCACCAGGTGTTAATGTCAGTCCACCAGGTGTTAATGTCCACCAGGTGTTAATGTCAGTCCACCAGGTGTTAATGTCAGTCCACCAGGTGTTGATGTCAGTCTACCAGGTGTTGATGTCAGTCCACCAGGTGTTAATGACAGTACATAAGGTGTTAATGTCAGTCCACCAGGTGTTAATGTCAGTCCACCAGGTGTTAATGTCAGTCCACCAGGTGTTAATGTCCACCAGGTGTTAATGTCAGTCCACCAGGTGTTAATGTCAGTCCACCAGGTGTTGATATCAGTTAATGTCAGTCCACCAGGTGTTAATGACAGTACATAAGGTGTTAATGTCAGTCCACCAGGTGTTAATGTCAGTCCACCAGGTGTTAATGTCAGTCCACCAGGTGTTAATGTCCACCAGGTGTTAATGTCAGTCCACCAGGTGTTAATGTCAGTCCACCAGGTGTTGATGTCAGTCTACCAGGTGTTGATGTCAGTCCACCAGGTGTTAATGTCAGTCCACCAGGTGTTAATGTCAGTCCACCAGGTGTTGATGTCAATCTACCAGGTGTTGATGTCAGTCCACCAGGTGTTGATGTCAGTCTACCAGGTGTTAATGTCAGTCCACCAGGTGTTAATGTCAGTCTACCAGGTGTTAATGTCAGTCCACCAGGTGTTGATATCAGTTAATGTCAGTCCACCAGGTCTTAATGTCAGTTAATGTTAGTCCACCAGGTGTTAATGTCAGTCCACCAGGTGTTAATGTCAGTCCACCAGGTGTTGATATCAGTTAATGTCAGTCCACCAGGTGTTAATGACAGTACATAAGGTGTTAATGTCAGTCAACCAGGTGTTAATGTCAGTCCACCAGGTGTTAATGTCAGTCCACCAGGTGTTAATGTCCACCAGGTGTTAATGTCAGTCCACCAGGTGTTAATGTCAGTCTACCAGGTGTTGATGTCAGTCCACCAGGTGTTGATGTCAGTCAACCAGGTGTTAATGTCAGTCCACCAGGTGTTGATGTCAGTTAATGTCAGTCCACCAGGTGTTAATGTTAGTCCACCAGGTGTTAATGTTTGTCCACCAGGTGTTAATGTCAGTCCACCTGGTGTTAATGTCAGTCCACCAGGTGTTAATGTTAGTCCACCAGGTGTTAATGTTAGTCCACCAGGTGTTAATGTTAGTCAACCGGGTGTTAATGTCAATCCACCAGGTGTTAATGTTTGTCCACCAGGTGTTAATGCTAGTCCACCAGGTGTTAATGTTAGTCCACCAGGTGTTAATGTCAGTCAACCGGGTGTTAATGTCAGACCACCAGGTGTTAATGTTAGTCCACCAGGTGTTAATGTCAGTCCACCAGGTCTAAATGTCAGTTCATCGGGATTTGATGTTTTTATCACCAGCTTTCAGCCTCTCCCATGAATCCTGCGACATATTCACGCCGGTTGTCACCCTATGTCGATGATAGTGGCTGATAACACATTATTATATCTGTATTTCAAACCTCACGAAAAAAACGCATTAGAATGCCCCATCAATCAAAGTACAGAAAGAATAAAGTTATCTGGTGCAGGATCTAAAGGCCTGATCACGGTGTATGCTCTCTCAGAAAAGCGCAGAGATCTCGCAAATAGTAAGCTTTTCAAACTAGGTTTTCCAACTTCGTATGTGTGAACTAGCATTCATCATGAGACTGCTGTATTCAGAACACTTGGTTGGCAGTAGCTTTTTATGACGAGCTTTCAGGACACGTGTTTTTCAATATCGGCATATAGATAAACACTTGTCAACTTATGCTGTTGGAGGACAAAAACTGCTGAAGTGAGTGAGTGAGGGAGTTGGGTTTAACGCCGCTTTTAACAGTATTCCAGTTATATCGCGGCGTGACAGCTTAATGTGGAAGGCACATACCACGGGTATGGTGCTGACAAACCTAGAAACATAATCGGAGCGAACCGGGATTCGAACCTATAATCAAAGGTTTCTGTCGTGCCCAAGGGACGCAACTCTGCACAGTGAATTGCGGCGCCTTAGACGACTGGGCCATCCGTCCCACCTTACGATCATGAAGTTCAGCAATGGTGTAGGCAAATCATCACATGATGTTCGAACCCGGACCTGACAAATTGTTTTGACGAACGGTTTTGGATTATTTATGTTCATTATTATTCATTATTCAGCGTCATATGTTCTACACTGGAGATTGTGATCATGGTGACCCAGTCGTCCTTGTGTCGTGTGGCGAAATGATGGTAGCTGGGGAGTAGCAAGCGATTATAGCAATCAGGTCTTCGCGGGGACCAACCGCTCACGGTCGTGCGCAATCTAAATAATTGCAATATTCAGACTGATATTGTGTCACTGTAGAACACAATCAATTTCTATCTGTATCTCTCACTCATACCTGACACATCCGACCCGTGAAGATCCGGGGTAGAATAGGTCTTCAGCAACCCATGCTTGCCGTAACAGGCAACTAACGGGATCGTGTGGTCAGGCTCGCTGACTTGGTTGATGCATGTCATCATATCCCAAATGCTCATGTTATCAATCACTGGATTGTCTGGTTCAGACTCGATTATTTACAAACCGCCGTCATATAGCTGGGATATTGTTAAGTGCGGCGTTAAACAACAAACAGAGACAAAGACAAGGACACAACCTGACACAAATCTCAAAAGCTCACTGCAGTGGGTCTACAACGCCCATTGCGAATATTCATACTACAGTCACCGTCAGTACCCAAAGTCAAAGATATGTATCGCATGTAAGCCTCTGGCCCATACACAAAGGCGTTACATATAAGCAGTTTTACATATTTGGATTATTCAAAGCATTAATTGTTTATTGTTAGGCTAGTTTATCTCTGCAGCCTTTGTAATATGCAGCTAGCAGCCGACTCGTCTCGCATCAAAACACCGGCTGTGTACTCGAGGGCAGATGACCACGGATCACTGTGTCGGATTAACGAGACTGATTAATGAGGGATTTCGGTAATTCGTTGCTAATTAGGTGTGTCGGAGTGCGAGACTGTCGGATTAACGGGTCTAATTAGAATCGTGTCCCATGATTTGTGTCGGATAGAACGGATTGTCGGATTAACGAGATTTGACTGTATTCTAATGTTTAACAATCGTTTCTAAGAGAAACATATATGACAGCATCATATTTTAAAGAAAGAAGAGAAATGAAAGCAGGTACGGGGTTATTTGACAGATAGTGTTCTGATATTTATGATTTAAATATATTTGTATTCAATGAATCGGGATCGGTAAACAAGGGAAAGGCTTATGTTAAAAGTTCTCAAGAATAAGTCTGGAAGTTAATTTAAGGTACCGACGTTTAGTACAATATCTGAAAAACTATTGGACCTAATCCAGTCAAAGTTGGTATGAGATTATTAAACAGCCATACATAACTGGATATTACATTTAAAGACAATCGGTGCATGAATAAAAACTCTGTCTATTTAGCT